AGTCCTTTATTTAATAGATTTTTATTTCAATATATGTTTTTTTTTTACTTTCCTTCATGTTTTTTTTTTTTTTTTTGTACAATAACAAAAAAAAATTTGGGACATCAGCTATGACATCAATAATTTATTGGAATTCATTTGAAAATAGTTTGAAAGCGTGAACCTTTGCAATGAAAAAAATTAGGACTACTTAAGCATCCCTCGTTTTATTGTCTTAAACGAGGTAAGGCGATTCAGGAAGGGAGATTCGTGGATCAACTTTTACTTACATTTAATTAATTATTGCTTTTCGCCACAACATTATATTGCGGGCTTCCAAATCGAAAATTATCTGGTTTTGCAATAATATTTTTTTGTACTTGTGTTCTTTTTTGTTTTTTTGAAACCTTAAAATATTTTTTTTTTTTTTTTTTTTTTTGTTTTAATATCTTTGTAAATCGGTTCACTTTGAAATTATTAAAATAAACTAATAATAATATTAATAATAATAATGTTGTTTTATTGAATTAATTAATATACGTATTGGTTTCTTTCTTTTTTATTTTATTTCCTATAAACTTAATAATCCACCGCTCGGTTTATGTATTGTAACTTTCTAGTAAAAATTAAGTTCTCTCGATTACAATTTTCTTCTAAACTTTTTCCCATTTAACCTAAAAATAGGCTTTAATTCTTTTTTTTTTTTTTTCTTTTCTTCTGCACTGCTTGATAAATTTTTTATGTGCACTTGTTTCCAATGAAGAAGAGGATATAGATCCGCATTAATATATAAGTTAACCACGCTCACTCGCTAAAAAGACCAAACTAACCAAACTAACTAACTGTAAAGCAAGAATCATTACCGTTTACAGTAGCAGCTGACTTTTTTTCATTCATCATACTAGCCAACATACATAGTACATACAATTTAACTGCAATTAAACTTTATCTATGACTTTCAGATTTTCTACCCTCACCTAAGAGCTTTAAAATAACAGCTGTTATTATGGAGAAAAGCTCCGGTTAAAAATAAGCTTCTCTCTCTCATTAGCAGTCTCTCTATCTCTTTCTTGCTCCTTCTTACTCCCTCTCTTTATCTCTTTCTCTCTCTCTCTCTCTCTCTCTCTCTCTCTCTCTCACCCTTTTACGCTTTCTCTCATATTCGTTATCTTTGTTCCTGTTTCATTTTACATCCACCTCTCCTTTTGTTTACCTATTTCGTCTATCACGCTTATGTACGACACACAAACGATGGTTGTATTCAAATTTTGTGATAGTCGTAGACGCACATGTTTTCTTAACTTTTCCAAATAATATAGAGATGCCTTTAATTTGTAACACCAACCAACGCCTAATGACACTCACCACCCTTCAAATTATCCACTTTCATACAAGTATTTATACACACATGCATATACGCATACAGCCTTATGTACATGCATATTTAACGTTTATAAGTTTGCTAATGTATATAGCTTAACTTTTAACAAGTATGTATATATGTATCGTACATATATATATGTATATATGTATATATGTATATATGTATATATGTATATACGCATTATCTAATGTATATAACACTGCGATGCCTTTTAGGCACGTGACTAAATTTAACTATCTCGCCATCTACAACGATATATATGCATGCCACGATATGAGAAGGCGCGATACAACCAAATCTTTTCAAAATAAAATGAATTAAAATCTAACACTCTTAGCCAGCAAAATACTTAAGAAGATGGGCAAGAAGGTATAAGTAATAATAACTTAATATTTAGTTTTAACTGCAAATGCTCTTTATTTCATTGAAGTGTTGAAGACTTGAATTAACGTTTCATTCGATTATACTTCCTTCAACCTTGCTCTTGTGTGCTTCCCTTTTCCCCTTAGTGAAGTAATTAGCTATTGATAAAACAAATTTTCCCCTCGACAATTTTACGGCAAATAAATATATATATATATATATATATATATATATATACATATATATACTCGGTACTTAGCCAAGTGAATAAAATCGACGAAAGCCGTTCAAAGCGCCCGGATAAGTAGCATGTAAATGAATTGTCAGAATGTCGTGACGCTTTGAAACTTGTCGTTTGAAAATAGGTGCTATCCAGGCATCAAACGCGTCTGTTAACAATGTTGCCCCATATATGTCAGACCGGACACCTATTGAGTGAAGTGTTATTACATATATATAAGTATCATTTTCTAAATACGGCATTATATGAAGACTGGTCATTGAAAAGTTCATCAAACTACGTCGAAGATTACAATTCATACTAAATATGAAAGTATATTTCGAGTAAGATTCTGCCTAAGTATTCATAAGTTTATTTCAAGTCACACAACTGCACCTATTCGCAGTCAACGTAAGCTCTTCATTCAGTTAATATAACCTTAGACATGCTCGTCTTTCCACTATCACTCTCTCTGTCTCTCTCTCTCTCTCTCTCTCTCTCTCTCTCTCTGACTCTAGTTGTACTTATTCTTAGGATTTTTTCAGGTCAAGAAACTTGGCGTACAATTCTACAAATCGGGAAATGCATGTGAACGGACAGAGAAATATGATTTACAATCTCTAGCAGATATCAAAATTTGCACAAGCACATGTTTAAGAGTCTAAAAGGTAACAATGGTCTCGACTAATTCGCCAAAGCTTTGAGCAAAGTTTCGTCTTCGTAAAATTACTATACGCTTGCAACTACTTCCATAAGAAACATTTTCTTTTCGTATTACCAGGTATGCAAATATGAAACCGGGGGTTTAACGTCACGTGTAGATAAGATCCACGTATGAAATTGTGTTTTTTTATGGCTGTTGTTATGCCAATATCACAATAAAAAATGCTTCTTCTAACAATAGATGCACTTTGCCCGAACGACAAAAAAGAATAAGAAAGTATTTTCACATCGCATTGGCATCGCAATTGGCGGTATGGAAAGTGCTTTTATTATTTAGAAAATTCATCGGTAAATTCCGGTTTCATATGTACATAGCTGTTAATCAGCTAATTCAGCTTACTATCCATATCACAGTTTTAAAGTAATGTAAAGTGAAGTAAACTGTAATACTAAGTGCTATCGAATCAAATGCATTCATACTTTTAAAAATCCAGACTAAAAACGAAGAAAGATCGACGAGATTGGTTCGATGCTGGAAATTCTTGTTCAAAGACGCGAAAATAACGATGTTTTCGGCGTAGGGTCACTGGTATTGGAAAAGCAGACTCGCTTCACTTGCTCAGACGTATTTGTTAAATCCTGAGCATCCGTGGTGGCTGAATTCCTGATGGAGAAGTGTGGAAGCTGACGACTCTCCTCACTCTCGATGACTTTTCCCCAGGTTGGGTTGCCCTCGCCGGGAAGTCTCTTCGAAACAGTTGACATAATCTATCCTATCATGCCTGATTATTACTGAACATGCAGCCATAGGTGGATAATTGTGGTCGCGGGCTTACATTTCAGTACGGAAGAGCAGTCTTCGATCGGTAAAGGGACAACACTTACCGATTGGGAACGCATCCAACAGACTGCGGCCATACCCTTCTCTTTCCTCCTGTGACACGTACAGGGAACATCCCTGGAGTGATTGGTCATAGTTAAGAAAAACCAATTCAGACTAACATCGAGAATAAAAATAAAAATACCTTCTTTCCTCAAAGGCGACGTGTAAACAGTTAGGGCATTCGGATTGGGTGTAGTTTATTAAAAGTTTCTGCAACAGAATCCGATACGGAATTTTAAGAAAAATTTTTAAATATTTAAGGGTTCGGAAAAGAGCCGAACGGACTGCTCCAAGCAATAAAAGTGAGAAATTCAACGGGCATAGACCTTTTAACAAGTGAAACAAATAGCTCGATTACTAGATTATAGGAAAAAATAACACTGTGCGTACAAAACAACAAAAGTTGTGCTCAGCGATTGACGATATTTGGAAAAACTTTCTTTATATGTGTTCGTGTGTGTGTGTGTGGGTATGATTGTGATCTAAGCATACCTTCCAAAAAAAAAAATGAAAATTAATCAGGTAAGAAATTTATAAGTAGCGGCGGCCGAATCTTTTGCTTGAAAGCAAATTGGAAAAAAATGATATTTTCGATTCCTTGGCCGATCTTTTTTATTTTTGTTCAGGTACTGTTCTCTCGCTTTTATAATAAATACATATTCTTATTGTCCTTACTTATGAGTAATGAACGTGACAGCCCCTTTTTTGAAGGCAGAGCTGTTTTAAGATTATGTTAGAATGTGGGTGTGTCCTTCGACCAATTTAGATAGTTTTCAAACTACTAAACTACGTGCGAAAATTTCCTATGTTTTTTTAACCAAATTTCAAGCCGATACTTGCATTTTTGTCACACGTGATTAACGGTCAGATAGTTAGATAGACGAACATCGATTTAAAATTTGATGATGGCCAAGAATATATTCACTATAGAGATCGCCGAAGCTTCGTTCTAGGTGTTGCAATAGTTTTGATGGAAAGAACATACCGTGTCCCACACACGCACTCTTCGAAAGGCAAATAAAAAAAAAAAAAAAAAAAATCGAAGACCACTTCAGTTCCTCAATAGCGAAGATGAAGAGAAACACTTCTTTCAATTCCTCAAGTGTTGAGTGTGGCGTTAAAAAAGAATTGGAAGCAAAGGGCGGGTAATAAAATCTGATAAAACAATTCTTCAATTAATTTTACTTACACGTATCTTAAATTTGGATAAATTCTTTATGGAAAATTCATTTATTATCTCTGTTTTTATTTGTTATAAACAACAATAGTAGAAGCAGCAACAACAACAACAACAACAACAACAACGAAGAGATACCAACAATGTTTATGACCTAAAATCTTAATGTTTGCATTTTATTTATTACATTTTCATCGTATGGTCTTACTTGCTACATGACCTCATATAGAAATGTCAATCTATATGAGTGTATATGTATATATATACATATATATATATATATATATATATATCTGAGAATATATACATTTACATATTGGCTACAACTTACTTCTTGATTTTCTTGAAATTCGCCATTACGATTAATATCCTTGGCATCCGTTGTTATGGTTGCCGCTGTTGCCGCAGCAGTTGCTGTTGGAAATTGTTGCAGGCCAAAATGTATAGTGGTTGAAGTATTTAGATCAACTGTATTGGTTATATAGCGAGAAGGGCTGGTAGCAGCAGCAGTAACGGCAATGGAGCCAGTAGTCGCAGCAGCGACGGGTGTTAAGGAATCCTCAAAGGATTTCTCGAACGAAGCTATTGGCGCCGGGCCAAGACGTTTTTGTTTGCGTGGATCCATTATAAAATCATTGAATTCATTCAGCTTGAAACTTTACTACAATTGTTACAAACTTACGGGCTCCTCTTCTTTCTATGCTTTGCGAGGAAACTTTACAACGCAACCATTTTTTCAACTGCAAATAAAACAAAACAAAATAAAACAACAATAAAAAAAGACTGAACTTCAGTTTTGAAAAAATCATGTAAAGAAAGGACAAACAATCATTTAATTTATTACAATTAGCGCTTGTGTCTGCTTCCATATAAATATAGCATGAGTCTAGTGTGAAGAAGTTGCAATCTGTTTAAAGTTTATCACGAAGCATAGCTGTAAACGAAAAAATTCAATAAAAAAGAAGAAGAAAATTTAATGCATTTACCAGCGGAATAATGTTAGTCTAGTAAGCAAGCCACTATTTGATAATTTTCAGTCAATAAATTCGAACTTATATGCATACACTTCCTAGAGCTTAAATTGTTGAAGTTGCAGTACGTTCTAAGACGTATGTGCCTCCTACAGAGCCCTTCGTTTAGGATTACGTTCTTTATCTTTTTCATTATTTAAAAAGTGTGATCCCTCGAGTGAAGAAGGGTACAGTTACGGTATATGTGATTTAAAAATAACCCACTTTTAGCTACATAAAGGATTCGTTCTGGTGTCACACTTTCATAAAAACATATATATTTACGTTTGAATAATAATGAACAAACCGCAAGGATTATTATAGCCAGATGCCGTTTTATATTCAAAGTGTCATCACCTGATTCGCCACTGCGAAAATATCTTACGCAAATTAAAGAGATTTTGGCGATATTCCACCCTTCAATTTTTAGTCGCAGCACGAAAAGTTCGCCTATTAGTTAACACCTGGTATCTAAGTCAAAACAAAAGATTGAATGAAGAGAAGCAACCACACACCAAATTGAGACAATCCCAAACCAAGATGAAAGTTTTTTTGAAAATAAACAACTAACGGAATTTATTGTGTATACTCATTAAACGAAAGACTCCATTCGGGACGACATATGCATTCGTTATTGCGTTGGCCAAAATCCATCAATTAAAGTTTGAAATGCTTTCTTACGCTTTCTGTCTTGTTAGACCATATTTATCTCTTCGCATGACTTTCGTTTACCAACAATGCCGAGACGAAGATGATCGGTTCTCATTACCTTAAGATACTGGAACTATCATTGGAGAGATCGAGTCGAACTAAAAGCAGACTAAAAGACAAAGATGCTTTTTTCCAAATTTTTCGTTTACTACTCTGCTAGTCGATCACTTGCAAAAATAAACTGTTTCATTTTGAAGGAGGAGTTCTAACGCCTTGATATAAATCAAAAATGAATTGTAGGGTACACGGGGAATAGGCAAAAATATTGCTGAGCAAAAACATACTATATATCTTAAGTCCTCCTGCACGTCACATACATCCATACAAATATAATACACCATGTACCACAAGCGGTGTAGGGAATCAAAAACCGAAAAGCTGCGAGTCTTTTAACTTACAGTAAACGATCTACCGAGTTTACGAGTGCAGGCAGAGAAATTGCTAAGTTAGAACAGTAAACTTTATCGTTAAGTATCTGTAAATTCAGATAAATGATCGGGTACAGCTCAGGAACACAGCTCAGTGCAGTAAATGATACGATTAGCTTATGACAGCAGATAGAAATATTAGTGAGTTCAAGCTAAAATATTGAATAAAAATGTATTGATCGGAACACTGCCAAATTGAGCATCTCAAGATCGCGAAACAACATAAGTTTTATGAGTAAACCCGAACAACCGGACAACTTAACGGAAACTGTTGAAACGATGCAAAAACTTACGCTGCCTAGAAATATATTTTATGAGATTTCAAGCTGCATTCCTGCACGTTGCATACGTTTTGTCGAAACTACTTACTACACGATCATCATTCCATGGCCGCAATCATCGTCTGACCCGTTTTCCCGATTATGTGAGTTTGTAATAAGTAAAGAACAAATTAAAGAACAGATTATATGATGCTGTGCTCTTTGTGCGCGCTAATATTATCATTGTTTATTTGTTATTGTAATTGTTATTCAGCGAATTGATTTTTTACTAAATTTGTTTCATAAGTGCACCAATAACAACCATTTGCAATCGTCTTTGTAGCAATGGTAACTGGTTCAAAATGAGAACTCTAATATGACGAACAGACAGAGAAAAGGGGGATTATATAAAAACAAAAAGAAAGAAAGAGAAAGAAAAGAAAGAAAGTGAAAATAAATCTCTGACGCTATTGTCAATTAATAATTTCTTTTTTTCCATACATTAATAAAATTCTCTCCAATTCTTAGTTAGTTAACACATCATTCAATAAGTTCCCAGTCTGACACATACATGGCAGGCCAATATGATTCCTGGTTATAAGCAACTTTCAAGCGATACGTATCAAAATTTCGCGACATTTTGGCAATGAGTTCACAGATTATGGTGGTTTCAATTATTTTCGAAAGAATGCAAAACTTTGAATTGCGTCTCTTGATTGAATGGTGCTTCTTCTGGTGAGAGTAAAAATCACTAAGAGAAGTACAGGTGCTTTACCCAACAAATGGACGGACATACCTTAAGCCTTGGGCTATTCTACGCCCTACTCTACCTATGGTCTCCTTCGATCCATAATGTCTAATGGCAGATTGTGAAATGAGATCCGACGACACTCTAACCAGCTTTCCTCTGGCGCAAAAAAAAAATCTGTAGCACATTTCTGCATATATTTCTTTTCCTTTTCCTTTCCGCTTCCATTGAATTCACATTACTTTCAATAGCAGCAACAATGTCAATACTTTTAATTGTCTAATTAAAAAGGTACGGATTAAATAATTTGTAAGTATATATGTATGATTACTTTTATTATTTTAGGTACTACCACACAACATATCATATGTATATGTTATATACGTGAAATAAATAAGATGAGGAAGCTTGTATGTCAACTCTTTGCTGCGGGAGATGGCGACAACACTATTAGAGACGATCAAATTAATAATCAACTTCGGTTGTTGATCAATTCTATTATTGTTTTTTTTTTATTCAATTTGTTTCCTTTTTGATTTTAATTATGAACTGTACCTATTTCATGAAAGCGCTTGTATGCATCACTTCGCCAATATTCGACATAATATTTGAAGTGGCCTAATTAAGGCATAGAATTGGAGATACTTTTGCCTAGCTGGCTGGAAAAGATGGCAAATAGAACAGTTTTCTCTTATTCACCTTAAATAACACAAATATATATATTCTCGTCCAAACTGGATAATTCACCAAATTTTAGCATCTTGTCTTTTTCCTCTCACTCTTCCTCTTTTTTTCACATGCTGACAAACATTTATCCCCAGGACACGTTAATAGACATAACTACAGCTTCGTTAATGTTGGCAGATCGATGTACAGGTGGGATAGTCGCAAAAAGTTACACCTTAAAAGACCACCAATATATATATACTTTGATATAGATAGGAAGGCAATAGTATGAACATATAACAAGTAAAAAAAGTGTAACGTACATAAGCTGAACCAGATGTCGAGTGAAACAAATATGTTGGCCAAAAACGAAGGCCATTAGTACACAAACCCGCTTCAGAAGAAAGATCTAAATACCGTCGTGGCTTACATCCAGCATACGTAGACATATGTATATGAGGTTGGAATGCCAAAATTAAGATATTCTAACAGAAGACAGAAGTCAGCAATGGCGGAGAATGAAGAAATAAGTCAACTTATATCTGAGTGTCTGAAAGCCGAGGACAAGTGGCAAGGTCCGAAGTAATTGCAAATCATCTCGAGTCTTACAGAAGCGGATGTATTGGAAAGCATTAGCCAAAGACATAAACAACGATCCGTGCGGCTTATCGTACAAAGTAATAACCAACAAAGTTTGCCTCGGAAAGCTTATAACAGGAATTACGACTTCAGCTTGGACGCAAATAATAGTAGAAAAGCTGATCCCAGCAACCAAGCATATATATGGTTACAGTGGAAAGCATCTGAGCAACATGTCGAACGACATAATACAACCGGTTAAATATATATATGGCCGGATTTACCCGATCATACGTACCACTTGTGCCTCAGGATGGGCATCTTTCCAACACTGTGCAAAAAGACAGCATCCGGTCTTGCTACAAAAGACTGACATGCCCTTAGATAGCGCGTTCTCTTGTAGATCTCTCGTAGGCAAACTTTTCAAAAAGTTGCTGCTAGCGAGATTAGAAAAAGGGGTGGAAAGTCTCCCGACGGCTTCGCTAGCCACCAATTTGGTTAAATCAAACGACAATCGACAATTGATGCTACTGTGGAAGTGGTCTCGGCAGCACCAAAAAGCAAGGATGCAAAGCGGTTGAGTGCTGTCACCACGTCGGACTTTACAAACGTCTTTAACAGGGCGGACTCAGAAACCATCATAAGACGTTTGTATTTGATTGAAACGATAGACAGCTACTTGTGTAACAGCAGTGTACGGTATAATACTAAGGACGGAATAAGAGAACACGAGACTACTGCGGTAACACAGCAGGGGTCCATCCTAAGTGCCCTTCCTTGTTATAGTCTTTTTCTACCTTTTTTCATTATAAAAATTTTCGGATTTCTTTGCAAAAGATCTATGCGTTCTGCCATAAATATTATCCTTGATAAATGCTCTTATAGAAAACCCGTAAAAATCATATTTGTAACTCGGTAACATAAATCGGCTGACAAATCGAACGCCAATATTTTTATGAAAGTGAGGGAACAAGAGATATTAATAGTCAGTTTTTTAAGTTTTCAATTATTATAAATGAAGTGCAAATAGAAAGTGCTCCTCTTAAGCTGTTAATTGATGCGATAAACTTCTCATGTTGACCGCAATAATCCAATTCAAAGTTAACTGAATGTGATTAAAACTTTGCGCGCGATATATTGTTGAGATTTTTACATTGATCTAACTGGGAGTTGTAGTTAAAGTGAAACAATAATAGCAACGACAATTTTGATTGCTTGATGATTAAATGATAGCTAAGAGAAGTTCGCAAATTGACCTAATGTCCACTGCACCTGGTCTCGTATTAAATGAAGTGCACTGAAAATGAAATCAATTAATATTCGCACGTGCTGAGACTTTTTCTTTCTACTTCACTTAACAATTAATTGATGTTAGTTATTGTTAACCCGTCTCGTTTCGCCCGTCGCCATACTCACTTCACCATCCTTCTCTTCGCGAACTTTTCTATCCTTGTCTCGTTCGTCAGTTCATTTATGAAAATTTCATATATGTATTACTGTTAGCGTGCATGCATGTTATGTTTCCTTTTTTTCTTTTTCATTTTTTATTTTTGCCGGTACTGACCAATTTAAGCTAAGACGTAGACGAGTTTATTGCCCCCATGGGCTTTGTATTTTAGCAAATATATGTGTGAAATAAATACATTCATTTTATACACACAAACGGTACGCCGTATCTATTAATTCTTAATAGGTTGTGTTATTTTTCTTTTTTTTTTTTGGTTTTTCTTCTTAATATGTACATCTTTTTAGACCCTACACCGCTTTTGAATCAGGGTATAATACGTTAGTACGAACGTATGTAACACGCGGAGGGGCTGAAGGTAGATCCAACTTTTATTATTCCGATCGATTCAGAAACGTAATCTGAATTGGTCTAAGCCCGTCTGTCCGTTTGTCCATGTAAATTTTTATTCAAGCTAAGATTCGCTCTTGTTGAGATATTTTGATGCAACTTGGAACACTGACGTGTTTTGACCAAAGGCCGAACTCTATTGAAAATAAATGGAATCGATCGTCTTTTTCGATCACTCCCCATATAACGCCCTACTCTGAAAAGTCGTTATATGGAAAGAAATTGGTATTTGCAAATTTTCTCGGCAAAAGTACCTAAGTAGTTGCATTACGACATTCTAAATTGGTATGAAAACTTTGCACCGACTGGGGCAGTTTTTGAACCTCCTCCTATATGATGAAAACTGATGTTCATGCGACAAATAGGTATAATTTTCAATGCTTCACGATGAAAACTATGTCATAATAGTAATTTAATATAAAAAAATTAATTGTACCAAATTTGGACCATATCAGCCTTTTTTTTTTGGATCCTACCGTAATAAAGATATTGCAGAGCAGAAAAATGTAAGTTTCAACAAGCGATGATAGAAATTGACCCATAATGTTACAGTAATTTCAAACAAAAATGAATTCTACAAAAATTGGACCATCTGCGCCGGTTTTTCGATCCCGCCCTATGTAAAGATTAAAGTTTTACTACATTAGATTGCGTTTTGGACCCGCTTTTGTATAGAAAGAAGATATAAGGTTTGTGTTCTTTAATAAAAATAAAATTTGTGCTAGACAGTGTGGTGTCGGGCATTTAATGGTCGGCCTTGCCCGACTGTAATGCTCTTATTTGCTTTTTTTTTTTTTTTTTTTTTTGCATTTTACAAATATTAAATCAATAAAATAATTACGACTAAGTGACGCTGAATTGTTTAAATGTAAAATATGCTTTTTTTATTTTTATTAAAAAATTTTTATTATTATTATTGTTAGTATTGATTTGTCTCTATGCCCGATCCCTTCTCTTCCCTTCTTCTTACTTTAATTGATGTCGTGTCGCTAAATATTGTTAGCAACTACAGTCGGCAAATTTTTTAATAGATTGTCATAATTTTTAATATTTATGAGGTGAGACTTGCAGTATAACAGTATGTTCTCAATTCGTTAACATGATGAAAAAATCGAATTAGTTTTTCGATTAATTCGAATATAGGTTAAGTCGACATTGATTGAAGCCAACAATATATCGATTTGTAAGGTTTTTGAACCTTTAGTAAAGCTATTGGGCAACTGAAGGTTTTAAGATTTAAAGCGCACTAAATGAAAATTAACGAGGCTTACTTAATTCATATCACTTGTTAATATAATGCTATTTTAATGATCTCAATATGTGAACAAAAATTATGCGAATGTTTGTTAGCGTCGTCATTAAAGCTGTAATACAGATCGCATGCGTTATGTGCTTGTATGTTGAAAGGCCAGAGATACCTTGAAAAGTTTCCATATTCGGAGAAAACAAGGTTTACGAAAAAGTGTCTCTGTGTTTTCTCTCCAACCATTGCTTAACACTTGGGATATAGGTAAACGCTTGTTTTGAGTTGTTTTCCCACCACGTTGTTGCCATCCTGTCGACATGCGGGTGAGAGTTTGTTATAATTTTCCCGTTATGAGTACATAACTGCTTCTGCAGTCGCAGCGAAATGGAAGACATACCTGGCAAGGCTACTGCAGCTGCGTATTGCATTAGGCGCAGAAAAATATCTGTGTCATCGAAAACTCGACATCAAAAACGTATTTGAAGAGTATCTGTCTGCAACAAGGTGACCCCTTTAAGTTACCTATTACTTTGTGATTATTTATGGCCTACAATACTTGCACAACAAGAGCTTATTACGCTTGTCCGGGTACGCACAACACAAAAAAGAACTTGAGGTAGATCCATCGTTTATTATGCCAAAAGTGATTCTGAATCGATCTAAGCTTGTTTGGACGTGTGTCCATCTTGTATTCCGCAAATATTCTGCTTATATACCCTTTTAAGAAGCAAGTTTCTATTACCCAAATTCATTGCGACATTTTTAATCCGTTAAGGACAAAACAATGGAACATAATTGTTAATATGTTAGCAAATTAAATACTGTTTATGTATGAATCAGTTTGTTAAATCAAATATTCCAGTAGGTTTGACAACATGTTTTTTGTATATCATATATAAAATTATTTTTCTCCTCACCGTTCAATGAACGTTTGCATATAGTATAGTATATAAGACGCGTAGCAGTCTTTTTTAAATTTTAACAATAATAAATATATAACAACAACAATAACAACAGCAACAACAAAATAAAACCATTACTTTTATTTCACACAACTCATGAATAATAGTCACAGTTTTTAAAAAAAAAAATGTGTTTAATGATAAATTACCGACAGTTTGTATGCACAACTGTTAATTGAAGCCAATACGACTGACTATATTGACTTTTTCTTTAAGCAAAAAAATTAAAAAACAAATATTTTTTCTTTTAAATATAAATGCAACGAATAAGTTGAATGATAATAATGTACTCAGAACTCCGTTAGGTGCCTTGGTATAGGAACAAATGGTTTTAGCAATGGATTAAATCGGGCTGTTACCGTTACCGTTACGGGTCCTTCGCATATAAGGGGCACAAAAGTTTTGCATCATTTTCTGACCCAAGAAATGACTCTGCCTTATAATTTGAATTAGGAGACGATTTTCTATTGATTTAAGCCTGCCTGCCTGCCTGCACCTCTCTAATATCAGGACAATTGAAAAAAACTGGCGGAAGAAAGGAAGACAAGGATTAGGTGGTGTCCGAAGCCTAGTGACTGTGTGTCCAATTATCGACATGGCACCGAAGTGCAAGGTAGAAGAAAAATAATAAGATCTTTTAGAAAAAAAATAATTTAATTTTGCTAAACATGAAACACGTCGGTTTACATTGTGCGTACCCATCATCATAAGTGCATCTATAAAATGATGGGGGAAAATTAATAATCAAGTCTGCCCCCACTATAATGATTTTACTGGTTCCTTATTATATTTTCATCGGCCTTTGTAGAATTTGATTTGTTCATGAAATCGCGTTGTTATTAAACCGGTTACTAAATCGGCCTTCTAGAAAAGTCAAGAGTCAATAATATTGGAAATGCGTACATATAAATGAATAAAAGAAGCTATATTTGTGCCTGCGATTTACCTCCAATTGTATATGTCTACAATCTGGGGCACTCGATTACTATATGCTGGAAGATGTGCTTTGTCTTGTGCGAAAAGCGAAAAGAAGAGAAGTATTTTCGTTGCGACGTGACTTGACTTTCGCATTGTTTCACAGACATAACTTTCGTATCCCCGTCTGTCTCTATTTAAAGTCAATCTGGAATTCATCAACTCTTAGTTTACTAATTTACAAGTCATAATTTTCTGTGCTCTATTTGAAAAGAAACTAGTTTCGAGCCTGAGGTCATGCTTTATTTCTTATAAGAAACTACTTATAGCGTGTCTTGTCACAACACGTGCATGATATAGTTAAAGTTTTGGTTTGTTTCATTTAATAAAATAGTAACTCTTTCTCTCTTTTCACATTTGTTTCGTTACCAGCTCTAGCGAATGGGGAGCAATCGCGTTTTCCCTATGCTTATCAACAGCATAAAATTTATTTATTTTCCCATTAGCATTCATTAGCATTATTTCAATAAGAAAAAAAAAATAAAAAACAGGTGCTAAGTTAACACTAAATAATTATTGTGCATAAAAAAAAAAAAACAAACAATGTTAGTCCGAGAGAGTGATTACGATGTAAGCATGGTTGATTGATTGACTTGCACTAGAAAGCTAATTAATAAACGATTGGGGAATAATTAAAATGTAATCAGTTGCGGTGTATTACAATTTTGATATATTCGATTGCAGTATGCGATGTATGCTAGATTTGCGGTTCCGTTAATAACGTCCACAGACTCCATATGCCATAAGTACTTCGTCAGCTTACGATACTCAACCGATTTACGCGTTATTCTCTTATCTGTTTGCATCTTAAGCCTGTCCAATTAAAATAAATGAAAATGGCTCAAAGCCACCAATAGACGAAGAACGATAATTACCAGTTCGCGGCAGATATCGATTTAAAACTTAGTAGAAACGTGTTCAAGGATCATGCGAGATCCCAACGGGAATATGAATGTAATGCGCCTGCAAACTTGCAAACCTCGGCATAGACCAAATATATTGGCAAATAACGGGGAACTTCAATCGCGTCTAGGGAAACCACACCAGCATATTGAAATTAAGCAATCAGCGCGTCACGTAAATCAAATTAGAGCTATTGCCCAAAATATCGATGCACATGATTCGCTATATCATATACTTTTTGAATGCGAAAGCGCTGAACAAGAGAGAAACGTGGCTAGAGCAGAGGCGACTGACGATCACGGATCTACTGCACCTGAGTGCTGTCGTTCAACATGGACCAGTAAACAAACTGAAAGATTATGTTATTCTACCTTTAAGGAAATAGTACTTATATATATATCCCATAAAATAGGCGGGGTGAGCTATTACATGTGGCAAAGCTTGACACTGAATGAATTGTTGGCGACCCTAGTATATTGTCAAAGAAGTAAGTATTCTAATAAATAACGGTGGATTTTAATAGGGTCTATTTCATGGATGCCTCGATGGCTAAAAAATCTTCCATCGCATATATCTAATGTTTGTGATAGAAATTAGCAAAGTGCCAAAAAAATTTTAAAAATTATAAGGACTGGATTTTAATACACTTTAGCACATTATTAGTACCTGATTCTAAGCCACTAATGCCAATAAAATCTTTTTTGTCTACGCACGTTTAAAGTAAGTTTAAAAAGACTATTACTGCCATTTACATATCGAAGCAAAATCTAGAGTTTTTCCTTTTATTGCCTTTTCGGCTCATCACCATCTCTTCTCTTCTCTTCTCTTCTCTTCTCTTCTCTTTTCTTCTCTTCTGTTCCTCACCGCTCTTTTACCCTATTTTCCCTTCTCGTCGTTTTATTTCTCGCCCTTCTTTTTCGCGTCTCTTCTGTCTCTCTCTCTCCCTCTCGTCTTGCTTCCTCTCTTCTCTTCTATTATTTAAAACTGTTGCTCTTTTTACCTTTTCTTCGCCTTTTTTAATCATAACCTTAACCTTAACATATTAAAGGATAATACTTGCAGGTATTTGCACTTACGTGCCTAGATAAAACCGTTAAAGGGAGCGAGAGCAATGTATGACATTGATTTATTGAATCAAATAAATAGAACTGTTTCGCGTTTCACTTAAAAAGCATATATTTTAAGTGTGTTGTTTGCTCCAATTTCACCACTATGTCCACAATTAGATAGACAAAAGCGGAGAGTCAGCGGCATTTTCAAGTCTACTTTGAGCAAGTACAGATAATTTGAAGATAGACAATCAAAAAATCCAAAATTAGTTGCAGAAAATCTACATTTATGTCAGAAAGACATAAACATATGGGGCCCTTATGGCTTGTTGAACATGAAGAAACTAATTTTGCGATATATTAGTTACTTTCATAGTGAGACTTCATGCTTATTAAGTGCTTTTTAGGTTAAATCCATTCGCCATTGCCTTTTGACAGTTTGGTGCAAATTTCGTACAATCAGTGCAACTGGGCGAGGAAGACAATTCGACAAGGTAGGCGGATAGTGAAGAAAATAAAATCGTTGCAACCGAAACACCGGAAAATCGTTTCGCCACTCACTTCGATTTTGAACAAGTCCATTGTTCCTTACATTGTTCCATTCAAACTTCCCACAACTGAAAAGGAAAGCGCAGCAATAACATTTCCTCTCCTTATTTATTATGCACTTATTTATTCAGCTATCCATTTGCAATTACGTTCATATTACTTAAAACGTTCCAGGTAATGTGTTCAATTCATAAAATGTCTTCAATTAAAACGTCAGCAAAGCAAATTATTCATACGGCCTTAGCAATAATAAAAAACTCAACTACAGTCAAACGAAAATTGTATTAAAAATTCAACGATACTTGAAATTGTTGGAATACGTTTGCGACAAGAATGCTACAAATTTTAAAAATGAAGGACAAAAGCAAAAAAAGAGATATGCAAGAAAGCTTAATATACTGCAGAGTGGATTAAGAGATGCCAGTGCACAGCGTCTCATCAAAATACATGAACACAAGAATTGATGGGGACACATCCGAGGAATAGACGAAAATAGATGGGCTTAAATCGATTTGGCAAATAATTGTGAAGCGATTGGTAAAATTAACGAGAATTCGGTCTCAAGTCACCCTAGGCATTGCATACATCTGTACACATTTGATATATCTTGTAAGAGAAGTGGTTTTAGCTAATGATGGTTGTCACCATATATAGTATTCATAGAAAGGCCTAACATGTTTTAGAATTATTCAGTTACGCAAATAAGCTTATCGACCGATCACAGCTGAGGAAAGAAAAAAATCATTTCCTCACATACTTGCCACGAAACTTAACTAGTCCAAGCGATGCTCTTGGCGGCCGCAGGGGACGATTCTTATGAAACCATCAACCATTGCAATATTCACGATTCAAAGTAAAGCAAACGAGACACACACCCAGGACCGTTTCTCATTGTTGAACTTATCGCCTAATTAGCCCAAAACCCTAAGCGGACTATGCAAAGTAGGCCTCTAAGATTCGCTCCTAATATAAGAGGAAAACAAGATCGATTTCTTATCCCATCTGCATTATAACATCGAGAAGCATACATCAGCAATTCCATGAAATATATGTACTTGCAATGAACGTCGGATTCAGAAACGATTTATTCCTACCCCTCTTAAACGTAACATCTGCATCAGTATTTTCCAATTGTTTCCGTCATAACGAACCACAAATTAGACTTTGACACCATAGAAGGGTTTTAGTTTCATGCAAGTCCCGTTATATGCAACAAATTCTCATCACAACATATTAAAAATTATGCCTTTTGGCATCTCAAACTTCATTTTTCATTCGAAACCGCGTACGAGTTGGTATCGAAAATATAGACCTACGTGGTCCAAATTCGGTGGGGTTAATTTATATGAGGAAGTATTATTATGAACGAATTTTCACTAAGAATTAATATTGCAAATTTTTATCCATATTCTACAATTTTAGGAATCTCTTACGCTGCGATCTTTAAAACGAAATATAAACTTCTTTATATTTTTGCTTAAACTGCTGCGCTACGCCCTGCTATTATGATAAAATCACTCAGTAGAAGAGTAGATGCCAAGCATGTGTTATTTTTATTGAAGTCTCCACATTTATGCTTAAATGTCAGAATATGTATCAAAGATACGCGGAAAGATAACAAGGCCTGTTTTACCGATGCATTGCAGAAACGTTTGGTTAGCGATCTATCAGTGATTTTGACCCATGATAAAAACTCTTTACACTTTTTTCTTATTCCTTTTTTATTAATTATTTATTTACGCATGAAACTCAGCTAGAATAAATTATCAGCCGAATTCCATTGACTCTTAATACTATATACTAATTATTATTATAAACTAGTAAAAATTATATAAGGAGAAGTGAAGAAAAAGAAAAAAAAAACTCATGTATATTTAAATAAGAACGAAAAAAGAAAGCATGTACACATCCAGTACAGAGGCACACTCACAGCAGACACGGAGTCGTGAGTGAATCCCTAAGTCATTGCAAACATGTAACCGATAACAGTAAACAACACCAAGTCATTTTCGAATCGTAGTAAAATGTTGAGATTACACGTTAGCTTAAATACGACATAGGCAAATTGCGTGTATTAAGCATAGTTGTTTTGATAGGCTTTGAGGAGTCGGACAATGGGATTAAGTTATAGATATCATTTACACTTCCACAAACTCCGAAAGGATTGAAAAGTAATTATAATTATATTTATATTGACTAAGCTTTATAAAGGTAAAGTTCCTAGAGCAGTGATTAGGGACATTGAAATTTATCTCACCAAGTAATGTTAGCGAATGAATAGTAGCATTAATTAATTTAATTAAGAAGGCAACATCAAGAATAAATCTACGTTTCTCAAGTGACGGTAAGGATAACAAAAGCAAACTATCTTCATAAGAAGGCAGGGAGACAAGCGGGTCCCAAACCAAATTCCTAAGGGCAAACAGCAAGAATTGATTTTCAATTGCATTCACCTAGATCTACATAACACCTACGGGAAGGAGACGACACAGCAGAAGCATATTCAAGCTCATGTATAGCCTTTTTAAGCTTTTCGGACCACCATTTAATGAAACCCGGCGCCGACCGAGCCTTACTTAAAGAGAGCTCAATGGGCAAATTAAAGTCTAATCTTTAACTGAATAAAATCCATAAATCGACGAACGAACTTACGTTTTCCAATTTTTGTGAATCGATGAAATACTCAGTACTGAGTGAATTCCTCCTTCAGAAAGAAAGCTTCTGGCATTTAGCAATGTATTTAAGTCAATTCGAACCTGATACGATCGTGAGTCCAAGGCGAAGAAACAAAACAGTTTAACAGTCAGTGTACATATGACTGGATTTAATCCCCGCGGGGAGACCATTAATGTGTAAGGTAAATGAAAGGAACCAGTGAGGCATCAGAAATCGCGGCATAAGAGCTTATCTATTTCTGTAAGTACGGAATGTAGCCCGAGGGCTGGAGTTTGAAGATCAATAAGTTGTAATTAAACGCTTTATTAAAATCAGCATTTACGATATCGGTGTGAGAGCTCCCAGAAATGCCGTTGGTTCTTTATCTAATTCCAGGAAATGCTTTTTTGTGCCCATGAAAAGCTTAAAAAGCCATGTCTTCTTGGAACAATAGTAACATACTTGTGACTTTTTATTTATCTTAATTGAACTTTAGTTTTAGTTCAGTTCTAATTTTTAACTAAAAGTAATTAAAAAAAATTAAAAGTAAATTCGTTCAGTCGAAGCGAAACTGTATTGAGACGAATTCGTTAGTTCATAGGTAGCAATCATGGAATCACTAGAATGGAAATAGGATTGCGGTGTCATCCGCATATGTGGCAGTTCAGATATTGACAGCGATCGGAAAATCTAAAGTGAAATTCCTATAGAGTATAGGATTTGAAACAACTCCGTGAGAATTTCGGTATATATATATATATATATATACTGCATTTACCATTTCCAACTTAAGTATAGAAATGTCTAAAAAGAATTAAAAAGATTAAATTTAAAAATGCATTTTCCAACACGGATAGCTGCCTTATTACTTACTCTATATAAATTCTTTTAATAATTCAACTAAACTTAGTTTACTGCACTTATTGCTATATGGGAGAACATGAAAGTTAACAGGGTGGAAAGTGTTACAAATTTGTCATGTCTGACGCTGTTACTGTATACGTTGAAGTAGTGGATATTATTGAAATTGTGTCTGTGTGTTGTAAGCCGGGCACACAGGTTGAAATGTGCATGAAATGATTCCACCTCTCTATCTAACCAATTTTTACGGATTTCATCTATGACTTCAAAAACTTTGCAACTATGCAAAAACTTTGGTTGGCAAAGCGAAAAACTTAATGTTTCTCATTTCGGTTTTAGTTGTTTTGCTTAACACTACACCTACCGATTAGCTCGTTTAATTCAAAAATGGTGCTGACGGACTTACTAACATTTTCGCGGTTAACGATCAAATACAGTCCGGTGCGAGTTCGAATAAATGGGAAATAAAGTGAAAACAATTTGGAATCAAAGTTTTACCGTTAGTTATGGACGCAAATTCCACCTTAGTACTGCTAACGTGTCCTGAAGGAGGCCGAATGTCGTCACATTGAAAATCCTAACCTAAATCCCAAAGTCCTTTCGCATACTATAAATCTTTTTCTTCCAACGATCCATGCAATCGTAGTATTTGATGTTGTCAGCGTTTTTCGCCTTAAATAGTTTCATTGGAACTGTAGTTATGGCAACCCATAGCACACTCAACTAAACTTCGTAATTTAGTTACCGCGAGTTTTGGCTTAATTGTGTATGTTAATGCTTCCACAGAGGCAGATTGCCTTAGCAGCGGCCATAGGCAGCATAAGTAAGGCTTTCACATTTTTGATATGAAAATCGATTTCAGCGATGACTTATAGTGCGAGATGACTTACAGTGCTTTAACTAAATCTTACTGATATTACTGTCTCAGGGAAAACTTGCAATTTTATATATCTTCAAAAATAAAATAACGCAATCTTTTAAGAAAGTCGGCCATGATCTCTTTCCGCAGTCGGCAATTAATGATGCTTTAGCACTCATGCGGAGTCATAATAAAAATTTGCATTATGTTTGAAAAGTTATCAAAATTTAAAAAATCAAAAGAAAATAGAAAATATTGTACAAAGTAATCTCAAGAGCCATAAACGAAAAGATCTTCCTTTAGATAGTATAATATACCGTTAATAAAAATAAACATAATTCTTTCCATTTTTCTATGCATTTCATTATGTAAATATAACTCATACGCAACGTTACTCAAATAAAATAAAGCTTTATAGTAACTGTAGGCTTAAAATGCATTGGATTTTAAATGGCAACTGTTTGTAAGATTCGGCTTTAAGTCTTGTTCAATTTTTTATTCATAGTTGGAAAACTTATTTAGAAAAACCAAACGTTGATTTTGTTGTTAGATTTTTCGTTTTTTTTTTTTTTTTTTTTTTAGGTTAACATGCCAACCAGACAAAGCTAGAAAAAAATTTCACCCTATTAAAGTAGAAAAAAAAGCGGTAATAACAAATTACGACAACAACAACAACAACAACAACTGCAGTAAATGAACAACATGGAATATTGTTGTTAGTTAAACTCCTACGATAAATGTAAGCAATGCGGTCGCCGCGATGGATGATGTAGTCGTAAGCGTGTATTTACAATAGTTATGTTGAGTAAAGCAAAACAGACATCTAAACAAAACTATTGCATGTATAGTTATATAGGTGTATATATAGGTGTATATGTATATTCAAACAACAATCATAGTTTTAAGTTGCTTTTGCTATTTTCCGCCTTTTTAGGCCATAATAAATATTTCTAAGGGGTATTCAACTCTTGATATATTTTATATGTTAATGCGAATGTAAAACAGACATTTGTGTGTACGTTCACTTACGTACATTAGTTGTGAATTTTCTTTTCTTATTCTACTTTGTCTTCCTTCTCTTAAAAAAAAATTTTGGTGGTGGAGAGGGAGGGGTTGATGAATACAGTATAGGTTCGTCGTTACAGCGTAAACTACCGCAGCAAAAAAAAAAATAAAAAATAAAAAACAAAAAAAAAATCTTAAAAGAAAAACTTAATCGCCTTCATATTAAACAATTCTGTACTGCATTCAAAATTTCATTTAATTTTAATTTTTTTCCTTTTTTTACGCATTTTTCTTTTTAAAAATTTTTCCAGGACTTACGTAAAATATCGTTATTTGTATGCGCCAACATACCAAATTTTTGGGGGATAAATTGTTTCACAAAAATTTATAATAATTTTATGGTCTACTTAAGGGCGTTGACTTTTTTTTTTTTTTCTTATAATTTTCTTCTTTTAACGAATTTATTCGTTTATTATTTTGAATTTTTTATATATTTTCCTTTTTGCTTTTGTCATTTATAAATTGTTTCCGTTTTATTTTTTATTTAATTCAATTAACTTTGTTTAATTGGAACGCTTTTGTTTTCTTCCGGTTAATGTACCGCAATTTTTAACTAACATCCGTTGACTGCTTTGTTTGACATCGATGTTTTATCAGTGCTTTGTCTACGTTTATGCTTTTATTTGCAACAGCCCGGCTCTTGGCTGGCTCTTGCCATCAATATTTAGGGCTTGCAACATGTTTGATGTTGCATTATATATTCGTTAGCCTGAGTCAAAATCTTTACATATCAAAAATAACGCATGGTATATATGTTGCATAGCTTTTAGATTTTGCATTTAAATAAACATTGATAGTCTGAAGCTTTGATCAGAGAAGCAGAAAAAAAAAATCGAAAGGATAAACTTATTTAGGGCTTAAGGCGAATTTTTTTCTTACCATCTATCAACGTCTGGTGTTGATTTGAAAAAAGTCAAATATTCAATGCTTCAGGTTATCATCATACACATGGAAATCTGTTGATATTTGAGCGAAAGGTGAAGTGCGCGAAGACCTTATATTCTTTGAAGAATGAATTTACGGTATTAGCATACAGATGGCAGCCGCTCAACTTTAAATCTATTACGACAAAGTCGGTAATCGTTTCATTCAATTTAATTCAGTTTATCTGGTTTACAACTTTAACGAAGAGAATTTAAGCAAAAGATACAATTTCCAAATGGCTTAGGAGGTGACTGTAACAAAAAATTCTTTTTTCAATTGGCTTAATAGATACTTTGGAGTAGATGAGGGAAAGATAAGCGGATCGAACTAACTGATTGAAAGTTCGAGAAGTTAGGAAGCTTTTTGTTGCTTCTTCAAGCTCTATAGAGAATCGTTTCAAAGACTACTCCTCCAAGCAAGACTGTATCAAAGGCTGCTTTAGCATTAAATAGCACCAC